CTGAGAGATTAGTAGCTAAATCCTTCTAAAAGTTATTTTATTTGTCCATTAAAAGCAAGCAAACAAATAAAATACCCCCAAACAACAATACAACACTAGTTTGGGTCCTGAGAGCAGGATGCAGTGGGAGGAGAGCAGGAGCTGGGTATGTGTATGCCTATTAACTTTGAATAAAACAAAACAAGAACAAAAACAAACAACAAAAACCCCACCTTAAACCATATAGAGCTCCAGCCACGTTGTCAGGAGAGCCAGGTCCCCAAATGGGATGTTCCACTGGGTCCTGTGTCAAATCACCTACAATTCCCTGGGCCTTTGTTTCTTCTCAGTTAAAATTTAAAAGGGGATGGGGACAGTGAAGACCTAAGATCTTTCATACCTCTTTTAAAAAATTAAGGCTAGGCTGGTTGTGGTGGCCCACGCCTGTAATTCCAGTGATTTGGGAGGCTGAGCCAGAAGGATTGCAAGTTCAAGCCCAGCCTCATCAACTTAGCGAGGTCCTAAGCAACTTAGGAAGACCCTGTCTCAAAATAAAAAAATAAAAAGGGCTGAGGATGTGGCTCAGTGCTCAAACGCCCCTGGGTTCCATCTCCAGTACCAAAATAAATAAATAAAATATCTGTTTTAAATAAGACTTTCTTAGCAAGTTATTTTAAAAATATTCCAAATCCAAGCCCAAGTGTATTGGAATTTCTTCCATTCAAGAGTGAAATCCCTTGGAATTCCACTTTGGTACAGTGGGGCAATCACGCATTATCTCTATCATTGTATAAAATACATCTATGTGGGTGACCAACCTTAGCTATGAATTCCGTAAGCTGGCCTGGTAATGGAACCAGCTCTGACTAATGCCCTCGCTTCTTCCACAGCATCTACTGAAACACTCCACCCACAGGGTGAGGCCCTGCAAGGGTGCTGGGAAGGAGCTAAGGTTGCACAAAGGAAGGTGCCAGTCCAACCCAAGAATGTCTCAGAAGTCAGGCCCTGGCACAGAGAAGGGTTCTGCCATTCTGGAGAAGAAAAATCCTCCAGAAGCTGTTGTCTGGGGAGGGGAAACTATTGCTCTCTTTCTCCAGCCCAGCAGCACGAAATGTAGCCGGACCTCCCAACCCACGTTGGATCTACGCACAAACCTGAAAAACCGAGGCTGGTGTTCCACGTTATTTTCTTCTAAGACCTTCCGCCTTTCTCTCTGTAGCTGTTCAATCCTCTGCTTTTGTATTTCAGCTTCTTCTATGTTCCCTTCTTCTAGAAATCTGAGGCATCGAGGGAAAAAAGTGAAGGATTGTATTTCCAAGAAAACATAACAATATTTACTACTAAACTTCCACGTGTTCAATACTAGATACTCAGAATCTTCTCCTACTTCTAAGACTCCTCTCCCAGCCCTTATCTTGAGGTAAAGAGGGTTATTTTGTGAATTGGTGATCTTGACATGGATCATAATCTTGTACCTATAAAAGGGAATTTGGGGCTCAGTCTCTATCGTCTCCAATTCCATTATGTCTCCCCAACCTTCCCACAGGCAATCCTCTATTATTAGTGTCTTGGGGGATCTTTCCAGAGATTCTTTATGCATACTTATGCAAACATAAATGTATGTTCTTATCCCTCCCTCCCTCTTAAAAACACAAATGGTAGCATACTGCAGTATGATCTATAACCTTGAATTTTTCTTTTGCTTTCCTTTTTACTTAACGATATACCTTGGTGATCGTTTTATGATAGTACTTAGACCTCTTCATTTTTAATAGCAGTGCAATATTCAATTGCATGGCTCTAAGTTAATTTATTCAAACAATTCCCTGTTGGTAGACATTTTAGTTCCTCATTTTAAAATTTACAATTAATGCTGCAATGAATGACTTTGTGCATCTGTCATTTTACACCCGGGAAAACATATCTGGAGGAAAAATTTTTAGAAGTGGAACTGCTGGGTTAAAGGGTGAGTCTGTAATTTATATGTTATCAACCTGACCTTTATAGGGATTACAGCAATTCACATTCCCATCTGCATGCTACGAGCAACCTTTTCTCTACTCAGGGTATATCAGATTTTAGAATTTTTACCAATCTGATAAGAAATGATATGTCCAGGTGGTTTTAAAGTTAGCATTTTCATATCATGACCAAGGCTGATCTTCTTTTCATATGTTTAAGAAAAATCTGCATTGTGTATTTTGTACACTGTCCATTTTCCTATGCCTGTTACTTTCTACAGTGTTGCTACTCTTCACAGTAAGAGATGTAAACACATATTTCTATCAGTCACCTATCTTTCAGCCTTGATTATATGTTTTTACTTATTTGGTCACAAAAAAATTCTTTTCCTTTTTTTTAATAAAGTCAAATGAGGTAATCTTTCTTTTGGCTTCTGGATTTTGAGACTTAATTAGAATGGCTGAAGGGCAAGATTATTATTCCATTTCACAGAGTAGGAATCTGAGGTGAGAAGGATCAAGAGATTTATCATATATCACACGGCTTGTTAATAGCAAACCTAGTATCATAACTTAGTTCTCAAAATGGGTCTCCTGACCCCTCAAATAGACAAGAAGTTCTTAATTATTACATGCAGTGAAACTTTTCAAATCAAGATTTTCTTTTTATATTTCCATAGAAATGGAGCTACTGATAAATAAAGGCTGTGCCACACATAGATCGAAGCTGGTCTCCAACTCTTCCATGACACAATTGTTTAGCCTCCCATCCCTGATTCTACGACATTATCTACCTTGCTCAGTCTCCTTTGGTGGCCTGAAAGTTGTTTAATATGACTTTTTGTAGAATTTTTTTAAATTTTTACATCTCCAGAGAAAAAGATCTGAAAAAAAAAAAATCCTTACCTTTGATCTGGTCTAAACCGAGTGTCAGTCGGGGGCAATAAAGACTTTGACAATGAGTCCATTTCATTTAACTCCAATGCAAACTGTGTGAAGCCATAATATTGCTCATATCCTTTTGGCATGGGATCTAAAAAATAAATAAATCATTCATTCACTCCTAACTTGCAGTTCATTTAGATTACAATTTAATTCCTTTACTTTTTCCATCTCAGCCCAGCTACAATTGTTCTCTCTTAGCTCTCAACCATTCCATT